ATGTAGAATTTGTTGAGTTAAACTGGAATAATCAATGTAGGGAGTACCTAGGTCTCCCTAATCAGCTGCAGTGTTGCAGATGCTTGGGAATGGTTGTATTGCACACAGGGTTTGACTTTATTTTCAACTATTGACCCTGTTTGTTGGTTGATATTTCTTTTCAATCAATCGTGTGCTTTATAATCATTGGGCATCTGCAAGCTTCATGTAGTGGCATCAAGTCAAGTTGGACACTAGGTTTCTTCAAAACCTTGAGTACAAATCTGAAGAGTGTGTTTTTTACACTGGGACCATTTGGCTAGCATCTCAAAAGCACTCAGTTTTTACTTAGGGGGTTGGTTTGTGGCTTTGTGCTAGTCTCGAGCAATGACAAACCTAATTTTATTGTTATTAGATGCATCAACTCATAAATGTGTGCGTACACAAGTGAATGTTTTTAATGAGAAGCAATTTTTATGTATAATCTCTTGCTCATGGTTGCATGCTCAAATCAACCAAGTTTGTCTAATTTGCGTTATTTAGATGATAAACTTTTCTATATTAATGGAGCTCTTTCTGTTTTTGGTTTATATTAAGACTACTAATGCAGTTTTGGTATTTTTTATCATTTGTTGCCTTGCGCCGAACAGCTTTTCGTGGATACACAGCTTTTTTCTGTACATACAGACCTTGTTCTCTCTTTCTTACAAAAGGAATAAAACCGCCATGCGAAACATCATGGGAATATTAATATTATTGTTTTGTTTCACGGTTGAACGCAAGTTCAGTGTTGTATAATTTTCCTATAGTGAGCTAAATTTTTCCCCTTTTTTATTTTCTGGCGAGCAGATTTTTCTCCCTATAACATATATTTACCCAGCAGTCAGCACGGTTCCCTGGGCCCTTTTTTCTTAGGCTCTGCGTCTGCGGTACCTGTAAATATTTATTTGAATGTTGTATTCGAGTCTAAAAGGGTTACAAGGGTTTCATTCTGTTTTTTTTTTTTTCTTTCACTAAGACTAAAAGATAGGATTAGTCTTATGCTAAATTTAAATCTATTGCGACCAATATTTTATGCCTTTTAAGACTGATCTTTTAGAAGATTTGGTTGCTATTTGCTTTTTGCGAGTTCATTCTAGATAATCCGTGTTTGTGCATGCAATGCAGAGATGACGACTTATTTTCCCCTCGCCCTTCCCCTAAAGATGCTTGAGATTCACGTTTGTTAGAAGTGTTTTCGCGATTTGAACATAAAATTAAGGCAAAGGGCTCTCTCAAGTTAATTATAACTTCTATTTTTAGTCTTATTCTTATATACAGGATTCCTAATCTCAACAAGAATTTTTTTTTAAAAATAGTTAACTTAGTTAATAATTTTAAATGTCAATAGGTTATTTAACTTTCAACATTTTTAAATTTTTATCTTTTTAATATCTTTACCTAATTAGTTAAGTTTTCATAGCCGGTGATCTCTTGTTCTAATGGAGCGGGAGTTTGAGAAATTGATTTATTACATTCATTTTTTTATCAGAAGAAATTGTTAAATAATTTAAGGATATAATTTTGTAAAAAGAAATTAAATACAACAACAAAAAAAGTATTATAAAATTAATCAAATTAAACTTCTGAAAATATATAAAATGGACCGAACTTAATATATTTCTTCGACATGAATGCTTAATAATAACATTTACGGTTTACCAACCTTTTTTTTTTGTACCAATACTTTACCAACGCCTTTAACTAATCATAGTAATTGGAGGGGAAAAAAGTAAGGTTTGAAAAGTAAAAGGGTAGCTGATGAAGCCTTTTTTAACTTGTTCCTTTCAATTATTTTTTACAAGAGATTATTTTCTAATTAAAATGCTTGTTCGCAAGATTACTTAAAATAAATATAACAGTAAAATTGAGTCGCTGACGATGTCAAACTCAAGAATGTTTACTCACTCTGGTTTATACAAAACATTAAATTGGCGGGGAAGAGGAGGCCATGTCATAAGTCTTGAATTTGAAAGATAATCTGTTTTGTATAAAGATCTTGAATCGGCATTACACAAAGATAGGGAGATGGGGACATGATCACTATTCAGTATTCACTAAGCGTGGGTTGTGTGGTCCAAGTCCAAGATGTGGCAGTTCTGCTTGATTCAAAACCAGAATGCTACAGCAAAGATGCCGGGATATGCCCTTCTGGCTGTTACATTAATGGAAACATTTTATGTGTCCCTGCTTCGGACCTTTTACTTCTTAAATGTGTCACCGTTTTAAGTAACTTATAGCTTTGATTAACCATTTGTACTTTTAATATAAAAGTACATGGCATGCTGTGTGTTTTCATAAAGTGAAACAAATATTGCAACCAGTACACATGCTGCTAACACTGTTTTCTTATTTACAGCAAATATGAACAAAATTTTAAATTGAAATATTTTCTAAATCTATTGCTTCCCTTTTGTTTGATGCAGATATGAAAATATAAATTAAAAAAAATTAAAAGAAAAAACACTCGGGTAATACTCATATTCATCATACTCGAATAATATATATAAAAAAATCATATAAGGGTCAAGTAATAAAATCATATAACACAAGGCTGAATTAGAACCTATCTCTTAATTCCATATTCTTTTTGATTAAACTCACACGTAAGTATCAGATTTGAACTTGTGTCAGGAAATAAGAATTAATCCAATGATTAAAGAATGTGAGAGAAAAACATCGTATGAGATAAAAAGAATATACATTTATTTTTTTTTTTCGAATTTTGCACTGTATTTTCTTATCGAACAGTTCACTCTTCCTTTTAAATTAGTAATTCACTTGATTATCACGAATCACAAATAATTAACAAAACAAGAAAAATATACATGTAATATGAATTGAGTTAATCACCTATACATTGACAGTGTAATGTGTTTATAGTGACATGACACAATTAAATGATATAATTGGTTGCCAGTGTAAAAAATTTTTACACTGACAATATATAAGTGATTAACTCGTATGAATTTTGCATTTGTCAAGTTGGAAGATAGAGTCAAACCAAATAACTAATAAAATAACCTAATAAATTTATACTTATTTTTTTCTAATACATATATACTTAATCGTATTTTGATTAGTTGAAGTAGGTCAGAATTACTTTCTTTTTCTTGTTTATTTTGACAAAAGAAAAATCTTTCAAACGAAAAGGGTAGCAACTTACATTAATATTTGCTAATAGATGTTGTTATGGTTGAATCTTCTAGCTGAGATCATAAATTTCAAATTTCAGCATTAATACACTAAATAGAAGAAGAAAAAATTACATGACATGTAACAGTTTAGCAATGACCTCACAAAATCTTCACTCCGCAAGTTTCAAAATGCCCAGAGAATAAAATCTTTTTGCTTTGTTGTGCAATATCATCTTTTTATTTCAATTCTCTTATTTGATTCTCATTGTATGTGAAAATCAATGATAAAAATAAGATTAGTTTTGGACTCAGGAGCACAAGGTTACATGTTTCATGACAATAAAATAAAAAATTATTCCAACATGCCTTTTATATTAACAAAATTACACATGGCGCGCGTTCAATGCTGAGAGGGTGTGTGTGTTTATGTCACTTAATCAATGAAGTACTTAAAATTGTGAGCATTGACGTTGACAATAAGTTTGAGTATCAAAACGAAATAAAGGTACAAATAGGTAGATATTGATCATTAAGTATGGTGCATAATATTGAGTAATGGACATCCAGGAAAGAGAAGAGTAGATGCACACAAATGCAGATATTTGTATCTTTTGGCTGGTTGAAGTTGAGTGGTGTCCAAAGGTAGAGACGATGTGTTTAGGCAATTGTGTTAACTAGGTGGATGAAAATCTCGCTGAAGACCACACACTTGTACTACCAAAACTCAACAACACAAAAATAGCTCCAAAAGTTTTAATACAACCAAACAACATAAATGATCATGCCAATCTATGTCTCTCGTTTTATCTGTGTAGTTATGTGTCCCCCTTTTGGTTGAATTGGTTTTGCTCCATCAAATCTTCTGACTTGGACCCTATTTCTTTGGCTCCGCCAACACTATTGACATATATGCTTTTCGTTAAAACCTAAATTCATATTGTAGTGTTCTGATATTGTTAAGCAGTGACCATCATGGCACAGTGGTACTTAGCTTAGACTAGATGAGCCAAATAGTTAGCACGTGCTTTCCACTGATTAATTTATATTGGTTTGTGAAACTCAAACAAACTATATATCAAATATCTATATCCTCCTTTCTGCCATATTTTCTTCTTTTGTCTTAACATACAACAGAAAAAGGTGGCATATTTAAGCATGTGAGGGCTGTTACATTTTAAGTACGGAACTATATAAAGTTTGGTGTTTTGTTTTCTGTGTAAATTTCTATGGGAATGATCTTGAACTTCCAGGGTAAACGGAGGATCAAGTTGTAATACCAAGTCACTGAATAAAGTTCAACACAGTATCTGACCCCTAACCACTTTTTAAGAACAAATAAATATTTGAAACATGTATTGCCTAAGTAGCCTTGCTTTAACAGAACGTCCATCTTGTTTCAACGGAACCAGCAAAACGACAACACCAAATAATCCCAGTTAAATAGTATCCACACACCTGTAAACTTAGTAAGAAAAATGTTATATTTTATTTGAGAAAGAAAAAAATTACAGGAGGGGATTCTAGTGTTATCTGTGAAAAAGGTCAAAATGTAAGTGGGAGGGGGTCTGAGTCTGAGGTAAAGGAACAGAAAAAGTAAATGAGTTAGTAGCAGTAAAAGCTCCAACCGTACAATCTTCTGAGACAGGCATTGGCTTCAGACACCAACTCTTAAATAGTTTCATATACAATAATACCAATAATAACTATTTCCTCTTTTGTCTTTAGGACCTTTTCTTTCTCTCTCCTCTAGTTTATGGATTTCCGTAAAGATGTCAGAGACAGGGGCTGCCAGAGAGGCAGCTTAGTTGCAGAAGCAGTAGCATCAGAGAGGTGCAGTCATTATACGAGCAGAGAGAAAGAGAAAAAAGAGTGTGTGTGTGCATTGGCATGCAGCTATGTAATCAGAACCATTAGTTTATTACTGTAACACAATGGTCCCTGAAATAAATATACCTACTCTACTCCAAGGTCCAAAGTAACAAGCAATAACAATAAGCCTCAACACAAACACTACTCTCCCTTCCTCATGTTTCTCCCTGAGCCTGTCCTCTCTGAATAAGTTCTGTTTCATTTGTTACTATCAGCCATCAGCTTTGTGCCCTTTGATTCCTTTTTACTCTTTTCGTTTTTGCTGTTCTTTCCCTTTCCCTCTGCTCGATGATGAATGGAAGGAACAGGTTCCCCTTCACTCCTTCACAGTGGCAAGAGCTTGAACACCAAGCTCTCATCTACAAATACATGGCTTCAGGCATCTCCATCCCCCCTGACCTTCTCTTCACCATCAAAAGAACATCCCATTTGGACTCCCCTCTCTCCTCAAGGCTCTTGCCTCCCCACCCCCAACACTGTAAGTCCATCATCTGCATGCTTCTTTTCTCTTCTATAAGATATCCTGCATACTATTCTATTCAAACCTTTTATCGCATCTGTCGTAGAAAAATATTACTAGTTAGTAGATACACATGATTATTGTATTGAAGATGGCACCAGATTTGAGAACAGAAATAGTTATTCGTGTTTGGTGTGCATGCAGTTGGGTGGAACTATTTGCCAATGGGGCTAGGGAGGAAAATAGACCCCGAGCCAGGGAGGTGTAGAAGAACAGATGGGAAGAAGTGGAGGTGCTCAAAGGAGGCGTATCCAGATTCAAAGTACTGTGAGAGGCACATGCACAGAGGGAAAAACCGTTCAAGAAAGCCTGTGGAAGTTTTGAAAACAACAACAACAACGACAAACATAAACACAGATGCCTTATCAATCACCAAAAACAGTCCTCTTCCTGCACTCTCCCCAACCACTCATGACACTTACCATCATCATCATCACCACTCCTTCCTCTATCACCCCTCAAGACCCTCCAACGCTGTTGCTTTGTCATTCCAAGACAACAGTGCCCCCTTGTTTCTCGACACTGCTTCTTGCTCTCAGAATAACAACAACAATGACTGCAGGTTCTTTTTTCTGTAAACAAAAAGCTGTACTCTTACACATTCAAACATAGCTCTTATCACATAAGTACAAAATGAATCAAGTTTCTTTTAAATTAAAATCAACTTTAAAATTGAATTTTTAACAAGTTTATAGAAGTTGTTTTGCCAATGATTTCTCTTTTTTGTTTCTTCTTTTATTTTCTTGTTATCGGAAAAGGAGCAGGTATGTGTATGGACTGAAAGAGGAGGTGGATGAGCATGCTTTCTTCACTGAACCTTCTGGAACTATGAGAAGCTTCTCTGCTTCCTCAATGGAAGATTCTTGGCAACTCACACCACTCACTATAAGCTCCTCTTCCTCTTCAAAACAGAGGAGTTGCTCTGGCTTATCCAATGACAACAACAACGAGTACTCCTACTTGCAACTTCAGAGCCTCAGTGGCAACAACAACAAGCAGCCACAGCAAGATCATCAGGGTTGCTACATATCAGGCACTGGTGGCAGCGACATCAAGTGTGAAACGTTCATGAAACTTGGGAAAGAAGAGCCTCAGAAAACGGTTCATCGCTTCTTCGATGAATGGCCCCCCAAGAGCAGAGGATCGTGGCTTGATTTGGACGACAAATCATCCACCACCCAGCTTTCAATTTCCATTCCCACGGCTTCTCATGATTTTGCAACTTTCAGTTCAACAACACAACGAGGTAATGAACCTTGTCTATGACTCTTTGTAGCTTTCATTATGGGGTCATCATGGGAATTGTTTGTGAGTTGCATTTTGTTTTTGCAGATGGTTGAGTTTAGTGGGGTCGTTGTACTTGAATCAAAGGCCAATAATGTACTTACATGGTGGGGTTCACATTGTGTTTGTGAGGTCTCTCTTTAATTGCTCCCCCTTTTTCCATCTGTTTGTGTTTCCATGGAGGGATCCAATGTGTCTGTCTGTGTGCTATTTGCTTTGCTTTCAATGTTGTGTTCTTTCTGCTCTCTCCTACATTTTCTGTTTTTATGTTTGAGCTAAGCTAACACTCAAAGTCACGTCCTTCTTTCTTATTCATCATTCTATTATGAGTACAATATTTTGGATGCTTTATATGGCCCCGGATTTGGATTTGCTTCTTTCTCACTTCTCAACTCTTTCACATGATTGTGGTCCGATCAACTTAATAATAATTTTTAAGATAAACTCTGTTTAAGAACGTGTTTTGTCTGGTGGATCTTCGAATTTGAGGGAGATATTTTACGGATATACACTGTTATAATTATTTCACTACTTGACATGAGATTTTCTACTGTTAAACCAAAATTAGAGAATAACTAATGAGGGGAGACAGCCATATGATAAAGGAAAGGTTGGTTTGTACCAACAAAAATAAAAGGTTTGCCCAAACTTATTGCTGGCAAAGGGTTCACTCCTACTAGTCAGAATATTGCTTCTTGCAAATTTGTGTAAAGGAAGAGATAAATGATCTGAAAATCTTTAAGTCGGTAGTTGGCTCTAGCCTAACATAATTTTTGCATGAAGTGGTGTCTTAATCTAAAAAATATTTACCCAAAAAACTGATTTTCTTACGATTGTTTTATTGAATTTGTTGCTGTTTTGATGGTTCACCAGCAGAAGTGGGCTTCAATGATTAAAGGTCGGGTGCATGTGCCTCAGTTCTGTGGACAACATCCAAATGAAATAGTAAGATCAGAGATGATGTTCACACAAAGTATTTCAGATTTTCTGTTACATAAAAAACTACATTTGGGAGAAATTGTGTCCCCTAATGCTTATCATAAATTTTCGGTCTACTTTTGTACCAACAAATAATCACCTATATGTTTTGGTTCCCTCAAATAATAATATATGCACCAGCACCTAGTGTGTCATCCAATTACGAATTTTGTGTATGCTAAATTAGTTTATTTTTATAAAAATCATCTCAAAGATACTTTTTAATTCATGAATGTAGATCGGATTTTGGTTGTTAAATTTGAGATATTACGTAAATAATATTCATTGATAAAGAAAAATAATAATTTCTAATTGAAAAATGGTATAAAAATCATTACACGGGATTACATGTAAGTGTAACTGCCTGATCTTCAAAATCCAACGATGCAGATCCATCCAACTTTTCGACTTCCTCCACAACTACACTTAATCTTTGTACCCTTGCAAAAGGTAACCCTTACGCAAGGCTAGGGGGCAAGTGTACTAGTAAGGCCATTCGGCCACCTGGTTCGGCCACTCGGCCACCTGATAGCCGACACCCAATCGGCCCCTGAATGACCGAACCAGGTGGCCGAATGCCGTTCGGCTACCAGATGGCCGAGTGAACTCAGATTCCTACTAATAGAGGTAAGAATGTACCCATAATTAAGGATTAAGGGTTAAGCATACCCGTAAGCCGATTAGGAGCGTATTACCTAATCTGGTAATCTTGTTACAGGGCCCATGGAAGTCCGGGCCCATAAATGTCAGTATAAATAGCTCTTGTCACGAGGTAAGGTCACTGTTCATTAATTGCCATCGATATCTGCGCTTTGTCCTGACTTGAGCGTCGGAGTGCCTTTTGCAGGTACCTCCCCCACACCGGAATATTGGTTCGGAGCACTCGTTCGGCCCTCAGAATACGAAAGGATTATTGGTGTATCCTTTAGACAGGTACATATATTAAATATAATTAAATCATCTTGAGTTTGTACAAATTATTCAGAATCTAATTTGAATTTGTATTTTTTATGATGCAAGTTTGACACTCTATAATTATTAAAATCATATTTAGGTGAAAAAACCTATTCAAGAATATCCTTTTCCTTGATACCAAAGGTAAAAATTTTTGTGAATCTTTCCTAACCCTCGACGATAAGTAATGTCATGAGTTTAAATGAAAGCTATTTTATTTTAACTAATCACTAAATGAATTTTTTTTTTGTCTATTTAAAGGCATGGATTTGTTAACTTACGTAAATTTAGATGTATTAAAGTATTTTGAGGTTTGTCATTTTATAAAATAAATTTTAAATTAATTTTTAACTTCGTGAATAATTAACCTCGCTGTTTTTCTTTGTTTTGTGTATATATCAATGAAAACATAAAATAAAATAACAATTTTGTAATTATAAAAATAAAAACACAAAAAAATGGACCTCTAGTCTAGACTTTTTTTGTGAAACCTCTAGTCTAGACTTATTTACACAGTCCAACACACATGTTAGATAATTGAATTATACAATTAGTAATAAATAAAATTTTAAATATGCTATGAGATATGTTTTCTAATTATCAATCGGATATATTCTTGCTTAAAAAAAATAGGCTCATTCAAGTTAAGGCTTAAGCCTTAACGAGTTAGGGTAGTATCTATCCTTAACTGTAAAAATAATTTTAAACAAATTATTAAAAAAGTTTCTGTAGAATAATTTATACATAAATTAATTGTATCTTATGAAAAAAATTATCTAATAATTATATTACCTTAAAACAACTCTGGAGCCAATCCATTCAAAACAATGTTGGAGTTTTTTTGGAAACGCTGCTCATGGAGAAGGGCATAATCATATTGCATTTTGTATACAAAGGTATTATTAGCCTATCAATGTGTTTGAATTTGAGTGTCAAGATATATAAAATAAAAATAAAATAGAATATGAGATGAGATGAGCATAATCCAGTTATTTGGATCAGTGCTGTTTGTTCTTCTCTGTTTTATTAAAAGCAGAAATACAACATAACATATCTTACCTTACCTTTTTATATTAAGAGAAGATGCCCTAGCTAGTGTACTCTCAAAATTTCAACAAAGCACGAAGAATAAATGCTACTCTCCTTTGTTTTTTTTTTCTTCTGTTGTTTAATAATAAGAGTGTAATTCTTTTTTTATGGGGTCGATTCATATAAGAATAAAGTAATATTTTTGTGTTTAAAGTTTTTTTTTATTTTAAGAATTAATTTTAAATTTTTTATATTTATTATTATTATTTCATAAAAATATTTTTTGGTTGCCAGTCTTTTTTCCATGCCATTTAATAGGTAGGTAGGATATATTAATGGTTTTTATGTATAAAAAAGGTAAGAGATATTAATGTTTTCAGCTTTTGCGGAGTCTAGAAAAAAAAAATTGAAAAGGTTATTGTCTCTTTATATTCATAGTCGATAAAAATAAACCAATAAATATATCGATAATGAAAATTTTAAAAGAACAAAACATTTTGCAAAAAGAATAAATATATGTCTTGTTAATATTAAGACCTATTTAAAAAAAATACATTTAAGACAAATCTAATGTTATTAGTTAAATTAAATACTTTTTTAAAATTTATATAAATTAGTAATACTGTAATAGCTTTTAAAATATTTTTTTAATCTAAAATCACTAGGATTATTATAGTTTTTGCGAGAAAGAAATTGGGATAGGTGTGTAAGGACTAGGTTCATATTTATTATTGTTTTTGTAATTTTTTTATAGATAAAAAATAATTTTTTATTTTAACCATAAATCTGGGCTTAAAATTACGTGAATAATTACTCCTTAAAAATATATGAGAAAATTTGTATTGCGAAAAGTGTAATGTAAATATTCTTATTCTATTTTGTATTTCTCGTAGGCGTTAAAAAAAAAAAAAAAAAAAAGAGAGAGAGAAGGAGAATATTCTACTTACCCTTTTCACGTGGGTAGGGTCAGGGACTCAGGGGAAGGGAGGAGGAAGAAGTGGACACTGCATGCTCTATATATATATATATATATTATTTTTATTATTATTTTTTCAGTTGCCTAATTTCATTACACATATCTCATCCTTTTTCTTTTCTTTTCCTGTAATTACTGATTAGATAAAAAAAAAAAAAACAAGTTTTTCCGTAGAGAATTTTCTCTTCTATAATCTTATCTCACTCAAATGTGACTATTATAGTAAAATAAATAAATTATTGTGATATATAAAAATAAATAATAAAGTTGTTAATATTAATTGTAAAACTCAAATTCACTTCCTAAACCAGAATCCAAGTATGAAATTTCCTTCCACGTCGTTCTGAAGACTAAATTCCGAGCAAGTACACAATAATGTCGTGGTCCATGGAAAAGGTGGGGAAAGGATACCGTTCTCTTCACTCTGAAGAAAAATGAAAGGGTACTCCATTTCACGACAAAATATTACATAGTATTCATCATTTGCTGCGATCTTAATATACTCCATATCAAATTTTTCATATAGTACATTTGAATTGATGAGTCACATAAATATTAATTGAAACTAACATTTTAGTTTCAATTTCATGTTGGTTGATATCGTTAACATTATCTTATTTTAAATATCATTCATTTTGAATTTTATAGATCGTTCATATTTTATTTTATACAATAATCAATATAGAATATAGAATGTTGGTAACCAAATCATTATTCAATACATCTAAAATTTGTTATGATCAACCTCCCATACTTAATTTATTAGTATTAAAATAATATTTAATCAATAAAATTTACATTTCACGAATATAAATTAATCTTTAATAATTAATTGTATGATATTATTTAAATTACAAAAAAAATAATGTAGAATGTTTGTATACCGTACATCAAGTACAATAAGAGTTGATGTATAAAAGTAGAATCGTCTATTTTACATCATTCTTTGCTGATATGAAAATGTCCACACTTAATATTATTGAAATTTATATCAATTTAATAATTCATGTAAAAAAATCATTTTAATCCATATAAATTAACCTTGTCCCATTGGTGTATGAAAACACAATATTTATAAATATTTTTTATCTCAACTTTTAAGTAACATGAGCTCTTTTAAAAATATTTATATTAAAAATATTATATTGACTAATGATACGAGCCATAATAATAAGACAATTTTCATCTTACACATTAATTTTATAAACTTTAATTATATTTTAAACCATTTCCTTGAAATAATACTATAAAGTCTACATCGTAATTCATAACGATTATTGATTGTTGGTTAATCTATAATGTTATTCACTATCATATCATTTATAGACTTTACGCTTGATATGTATTTAGTAAGTATACTAACTGACGTAGTAATAAGAAAGACAAAAATTCAAGTTATCAATCCACAAGAGACTTGCATTTATAATTATTTAAAATGATTATGATACTAGATAGGTAAATAAAAAAGTGATTGAATTAGATTAAGTAAAAAAAAAATTAATAGCAGAATTTTAAAGAAAACTATAATCTGAATGAAATTAATATATAATAAAAATAGTATGAGATTGATTCACTAACTTTTTCTATATAAAATTTTCATTCAATTTATAATTAAACAATTAATTCAATAGTTCATGCATGTATTTAAACCCTAATTCCTTATATGAAAAATTGTAGATTGTTTAAGAAAAATATTAATTTCTTGATAATTTTTGTTAAACAATCATGCATGAAATTCAAGGACTAAAAGTTGATAAATGAGATTTATCTCAATTTTATGGTTATAAATGTCATTGGTGTTTTCTCCAAATTGTAGTTTCAAAAGAGTTTCTCAATCTCAATTAATTATAATAAACCATGCATTAGATGATCAAACCAGATTAAGCATTAAGAGTAGAAGAAGAATAATTAACCTGAGTAATGCTTTTATTAGATGAAAAATAGGAAAAAATTTACATAGTTTTAATATCTATTTCAATCCCTAACAATAGGGAACTTAGTCATGCATGACTAAGGATTATAACACTAGATGAATCTTTGAGCCCTTCATGATTCTCAATTTGATTTCACAGAGACCTCTCTAATTTCTCTAAAATTGTACTAAAGAAAAATGTATTATAGTATGAACTTATTCATAGATCTATAGAAAATTCTAATTTTATAATAATTTCTTATGAACTTTTTTGTTGAGTCCAGTCACTCTTAGCGCATATGTTATTCACTCTGAGCAATCAAGTGAATATGTCAAGGGATGTCCTTTGTCTTTACACACTCAAGGAAATTTTGTGGAAGCTCTGAGTGAATTCTATTCACTTTAAGAACCTATTTGATGTAATCTTTGAATGTTACTCTCTGACTTTTCTTGTTCATAGCCAATTTGCAGTAGTTTAGAGTGAATTGTGGTCACTTAGAGTGTCCATGTTACTTACTTTAAGCGAATTAATATAATTTTTCATTGTTGTTATCCATCTTTACTTGCTCAAAATGAATTTGTGATAATTTTAAGCGAATTTCAATAACTTGGAGCGACAATTATGTGCGACATGGATCAATGTTTTTCCTTTAAAACTTGTAACTTTTTCAATTATTTTTTCTTGTGCTCCACTTCAACAAAAACATAAAAATACTTAATATTTACAAAATTAAATCAAAATTAAAATTATCTTTTAATTAATTATTTTGTAACCTAAAACAAGATTTAAAAATAATATATATATATATATATATATATTAATAATTACTTTAATTAAATAAAATATAAATACAAATTTCACAATTATCAATGTTCAAAATAGTTAGACTTGAGCATGAGTATGTTTAATGAGTGAGGAGTTACTTACTAGTGGGTCATTAAAATGTGAGGTAGCAGGAAGCCATATCTCTGGACTGGCCCAAGAGCAGCTTTAGTAAAAAAGAACTGTAATTGTGAAAGTGGCGAGTAAGTGTTGTATCGGTCCAAAACAAATAAAGGGGTAAGTAGTGGTTGCAGGTTCAGAATCTCTCAGGTCTGGCAAGAACTTCAGCACTAAGCAGTAGCAGTAGGGTCAGACCCAAACGTACACTCATTATCCTTTCCATTGCATTCAACCATCTCATCTGACTCCATCAGTTACCACTCACTACCCGACATTCAAACTATTTCTATCTCTCTCCAAATTATAATTTCATTCAACATTGAATCATCATGCTTACGGTTAACATATTTACTTCTCATTTTCTTAACCATTCTAGGTCCACTCCAGTACTCAAGCTCAATAAGTAAATTTCTCTTCTTAAGAATTACAATAGTTTTAAATGCTTTTGATCCGACAATAATACTATAAACATAATGATTAATAAAAAGTGTTTTTACTATAAATTGATTTTAATCATTTGTTAACAGTTTGTTTTCTGATTTAATAATGACATACCATCTAGAATTTATATGAAAGTTTAATTATTTCAATTAAAGATGAAAATAATTGGGATTTTAAATAAAAGTTATGACTTTACTTATCTAAAGTCAAGTCTAACTTATTTAATGAAAAGGTTAGAGTTGATTTAGTGTTCTTAAGTTTATTATTTTTTATATTAAAATAGTATTTTATTAATGAAAGTCATGTCCTTTTAATATAAATTAATTATTGATTAACAATTTTAAAACATTAATCAATCATGTCTAAAAATAATATTTGTTTTAAGTCAGAATTTAGATTTACAAAAAAAAAAGTTTTTTTGACTTAACAGATTGAATATGATATAATAAAAAAAAATACATATTTTCTTATTAATAATATAATAAATTTTTATATATTATACACAAATTTTTATCTTGTAGAGTATTTTTATGAGCTTTTCTTCAACAAAAGTGTTTTTAACTTCCTATTTAATTCATTTTTTATTTAACATAATTATTAGTGAATTAAATATTAATATTTAAAAATAAATTATCAATAACTATAATAATTTTTTGTTACAATACAAATTATTTATCATAAATCTAAAATATAATTTACATAATAAAAATATTTATGTATACTAATTTTA